TAGGTTGGAGGCCGTCGCTATTAGTAACAAGAAGCTACTATATAGTAACCTTCCAAGGGTCTTTGGGAAAACTCAGGTCTCGACGGTCTCCCCATTTTAACACACAGATTTTTGTTGAAAACGGTCCAACCCACAGGTCGTTCTTCTCAGAGTTCCATGATGTTCCACGTTGGTTTCGTAGACGTCCATGTGGGTCACTCGCAGGCAGTGGATTCCAAAAGAATCACAGCAACCCTGCGTGCGATCAACCTGTTTCGTCTGCTGAGATGGTGGCATTATTGGCTTCGGCCTTTTGCAAGAGCTGGTCTTTCAATGTCTCCGTGCGACCTTCAATGACCTGGCGAACACAAGGGACGAGTCTGCTGAATGGTCAACACTCCTGGGCGGAAGGAGGGTCATCCTATCCTTGGTTCAGGCCACCCTACGGTGGGTTGATGCGGGTGGTGTAAAAGTTCCCGTCGAAATCCATGGCGCATTTCATTCACTACGGACCCAAGAGTGTTCAGACCATTTTCATGGCACACATGAGACAAGATGCTCGTCTGACCAAGGAGCCTGCAAATATCGGCTACCTGCTGATCATATACAAACATGCACAAACCCACGAATCCTATTTTATAAATATATCCTGAATCCTGCTCCAATCTGCACAGATCGCGTCATGCTTTCGGCAAAAAGAGAACTCTCACAGAAATCAGAAAGGCTACTGCCCAGCTAACCAACACCAACACCAAGCGATCACGAAACCACCACACACCTCTTCCAGTACATCACATGGCTTCCACGGATCCTTCCGTCGCCGCCTCGACACGGCCATGCTGGTCTCGAACTTGGCTGGACACAGACTCCAGCTGTCGCGCCTGGCCCAACACGTCGACCCGCGCGCGGTTCGACCACGTGGTGGAATCGAGCTTATCTTTTGAGGGTCGTGGATGCCATTGTTTTGGGTAATTTGTTGTTATATATGTTGTGATTGATCTCTTCAGTTTAAGGCGGAAAGACTCACTTTTATTGCAACACCAGGAGGTGTCATCCTGCATGGGGTTTTGAACAACGCAGGGCTTCGGACAAGCCATGCATCTGTTCACCGTTCGGAAAAGGCAAACAACTGGGATTCAGTGGAATCAACAACTGAAAGTCTGAATATGTAAGCTATAAGTACTATATAGATGGTACTGGCATCTAATGCAACTTCTTCACACTTCCGCCAAACAATGCACACTCTTGGCATCTTGCCGGCGACAAGTAGGGCATTGGAACTTCGAACATGATCCCACCGATTCCCCACTTGATTACATTCACCTTTATCACCACTGAAGAAAGCTGATACCGATACCGATACCGAAATCCATCTAAATCACCAAATCTTGTTGCAAAAATACTAAGGAATACATGTCCCAAATTGATGATGTTGTAGCACATGTTGCAAATTCCAAAGAACATGTGACACCACCAAGCAAGTCGAAGAATCGCTCCAAAACTGTGCCAAATCTTGCTGCAGTCTGCAGGCTGCTATGGACTTGCGACTGCGAAACCACCTGGCACGTTGTCCTCTTTCTGGATAGCCACCCAAGGTTGCCCGTTCCTGTCCCCGGTCCTGCTCAGTCACCGCTTGTGATAGCTTTCCCAAGGTCTCACTGTCCGCCTTCCTGATGACCGAGACCTGTTCAGTTTTGGCTTCGAAGGATATTTGTCCTATTTCAAACGGCCTATCGGTTGGAGGTCAGTGCCCATATCCCCAAACGGTTAAGGTGTGTTTCCTATTAAAACACACATGTTTCCAACCAGATCTTTCTCGCATTTCATCTCACAAGCCTCCATAACTTTAATTGAGGCGCTCAAGGATGTATATCCATCAGAGGTGTACAAAAGCATTTGGGTTCTGGCAATTGATGCTCAGTAACATCCTTTGGATCACCGCCCTGTTGTTTGCAGGGTGGCCAAAACTAAACTCAAAGTGCAGATTTGGTGCCAAGGATTCTGAGGAATTGATCAGATTTACTTCCGGAAAGCGTTCAATTGTGTCCTGATCACCCGGTCAAACCCTGCAGACATCCAAAGAGACTTGAGACATGAGACCGTGAGACTTGAGACCGACCCGGTCAAACCCCTGTCGGGAAGCGAAATCAGTTGGCCTCCAACCTACTAGCGCCCTATGACACAACAACAACAACAACAACAACAACACATGTTACGGGGCGTCACACGTATGACTCCAAGCCTCCATCGTGTCAATGCGAGCCTGTCGGACGGCCAAGACGCAATTCCGTACCAGAAAATTGACATAGACAATATCATACAATATATGAATATACTTCAGCAGCTATCTGGTTGAAATTGGGAGTTCTCCTCCTCCTCCTCCTAATTGTCTTTTCGGCGATATAATTATTGTGAGTGATTCTCCATGAAGCTTGATTCCAGTGCCACTGCAGGAGCTCAAACCACAACAGCATGTCTCTTCTACTGGACGACTGTACCCATCTCTTCTACTGGGAGATGTACAGTATCTGACTAGGCAACCCGCTCAACGCCAACTGGGGTTCCCATTGTGACGTGTTGTGATGGCAAAGTCTGTGACATGACATTGTAGTCACTTCGATCAACATATGCACGGCAAAGCCTAAGATCAACCAAATCACATCCCCAGCTGACTGGCCCCCTTTTGTGCCTCGACTATGTCAGAGTCTCGAAAGAGCATGGCACGCACAAGGATTTTATGGTTTGAGGAGGCAATCAAAAACAATCTTTTGAGGCTTTCCATCCGAGCTGATTGACCTGCAACAGCTGGGAATGTCTCACATGTTGCACGTCGCGTGGGCTTCATCCCAGGTTTCATGCACGCAAAAGGACAGTAGCTGGAGTTCCAACTCCGGGCCGCCCCACGCGTCGCTCTCCGCTTCGCTCCCCCACCCAACCGAGCGCTCGGACCGAGCGAACGGAGCGCTTTCACGGCCTGGAGCCGTTCGAAGGTCTCCGAGGAGACTTTCGTCGTGGCCAGGGTCTCCAGCCTGGAGCGGTTCCGGTCTGTCGGCGTCGACTGCGATGGCGCAGGGAGAGTCCATGGGCCATGAAGAGGTGCAGTCTGAGGTTTGGAACATCATCTTTGCGATTCATCGGTCCATCTGCTCATCATTTAATGGAACGAATCTCCGTAAAGAAGGGTTGAAGGATGTTAAAGCTTATCCACTGACTGGGTGGGCATTGGAACAAAACAGCACATTGCAAGGGTGCTCTAAAGTGGACTAGAGTATGCTCGGATATAAAGTTCCCCCGTGAACATTGCAAGGGACATGCAAAGGTGTTCAAAAAGCCTTTCATGGTTCATGTCATTCATGTCTACAAAATTCTACGTACAAAATGTGACATTCAATGTCAAAGCTGTGAAACTCTGCACGTGTCACGGGACATTCTGCCGGATTGCCAGGCGGACCAGGGTCCTCCATAGCCCTTCCCATTGGTTCTGGCTGGGATTCAGCCCGGGTGTGATTGATTTAATACCTACCGAATTGCTTTTTCTAGAGGGGGAGTGTTATTCATCAACGCAACTTTGCGTTATTTCCAACAAACATATACATGACATGTCAGTTATTTCGATCCTGGTTTCAACAAAAGCTGTGATCCCTTTGCACGTTTCAAATCGAGGGTTAGACTCCAGACCCCAAACAACCTGGTTTAGAGCAAGGATTCCTCCAACAGCCAATTAAATCCCACCCACACAAAAGACCTTTTGTGATGTCAAAGCAACCAATCCCGCGTGGACCGCCCTTTTCCCGGGTCCACTCCTGCAACGGAATGTCTGACCGAGGTGCCGTTGGATGGCGTTGGAGGCCGTGGTGAGGCGCGCGTTCACCGTATCCGTCTCCGCTGAACTGGTCTTCGTGGCAATCTCCTGGCAGCGACGCAGTGGACGAAGCAGAGGAAACCCGCCAAGCGGACGCGCCAAGCGGACGCAGGCGGCCGGGCCTTTTCGCATTCGGATGGAGAGCCACTTGGATCCCAAGTGAAAGCCAAAATCAAAACCAGACTGTGGCTCTGGGGGGCTTTGAGTTGAAGGAGAATGAAAGAATCCTACCGCTTTTGGGAGGGCTTTTGCCGGCGAGAAACTTGGGGCGTCGCCCAACAGGGAACGTCAATGGAGTCGCTGCCAGGTCTGTTATCATGAACTGCTGCATTTGCCACTCAGCATGAGATGCTATGTCTAGTCACCCGCTGCTGGGTGACGAGTTTTTCCCGGATCGAACTTTTAGGATCAAAAAGGCTGCCCTCAATCCAATCATATTCTGATTCCAGATGCAACATCGGGGGATCAGAACTGGAAAGCTTCAGTTTGGCTCTAACTGGAACACCAAGCACATGGCATCGCATTCGCGAGCAAACCCTCACTAAGATCGTCTCCCTTTCAGGGATTTGGCGAGTCAGGCATGCTGATTCCAACTGTTTCCTCATGAATGAAAGGTACAGTATGGTACAGTATATGCTGCCACACCTCTCCTAAAAGCAAAAGAGACTAGAATATCAGAGCCCATGTGACCTATTCTACAGTCGATATTTCATGACATTTCATCCACGACAGGCAGCCTGTCTTTGCATCGCAGTGGTCTCAAAACGAAGGACATGGAAAATAAGGCTTTGAAGAAGACAAAGCAGAAGAAGAAGAAGAAGAAAAAAAAAAGAAGGAGACGGAGAAGGAGAAGGAGAAGAAGAAAACGAAGAATTAAATGATGATGAGGATGGTGATGCACACGGTTCCTATCGCAGCTTTATTTGGAGAAATACAGAGAAGCAACTGGAGAAGCGATCAATCCACACATAACTGCTGATGTTTCGTGTGTTCACGCGAGGAAACACCGGTTCTCCGGCCAAAGACTTGTCAACTGCGAGATCCCAGATTTCATCTGCCAGGTTCCTGCAGGTTCATAAAAATGTTGGATGGATTGAGGTGAGTTTGGAGTGAATCCGCTTCAATCCATCTTTCATTTCTTCACCTCAATTCCTTTCATGCCCGAAGCCACCTCAATCCACACCGACCTGAAGAAGCCCAAGCCCTTCTCCGGCGCTTCGTCATCTTCGTCCAAGGGTTCCCGGCCATCGCCGGCCGATCAGGGCAGCGCAACGCTGCGCTTCAGCCGGCGCTTCTCTCGGTCACGTGTCTCATCCACCACGGGGGGACCTCAGCTGCGCGTCCCGGTCCCGGCGCCTTCAGGGCTTGGGGCGCGTTGGGCGGTTCCATAAGGCCCAAGGAGTCTTCATTTCATGTGACGCGAAGTGTTCGGGTACAAGCTCAGCGTCTTGCAGAGCGGCATTCATGAATTTGGGGGGTTGATCGTAAACTCTAGCACAAAAAGAGGAGTCGTTTGATATCTTTGCTCGGGCAAAATTGCCAAGCACCCTGCAAGTCTTTCGTTGTCGGATAAAGAACCATCCGTGGCTTGACCAAGCTCGTTGGACTCTTTCGTTGGCCTCCCGGGAACTTCCTCCCCTTGCATGGAATCTAGCTGCTTCGGTCGTGTTCACGTGGGTTTGCCTCAACCAAGACAGGAGCGACATGGACCGACACAAAAAATAAAAGCCCTCACACAGAGCGGTTTCCTGCCAGAACGAGTGAACGCAAACAGAATTGGTCAATTTCATGAGAGGGTCTCCTACCAACCACTGTTTTGGATGAGAGGTTTGAGCCAGGCTCGGGTCCAAATGAGGTGTTGGAACGTCCGCCAGTCGTTGCTTGGGGGAATCGCCTCGGACGCAGGTCGCACCGAAGCACCGCGAAGCACCCCCTACGCAGGTCCCCCGCTGGGTCCGTCGAATGGATTTGGGTCTCCCTGTCTAGACTCCACAGGTCTGTCATATCCATATCTGATCTTTTGGACATCTTTCTAAGCAAGTGATGTCCTGAAAACACCTCTTTGACTAAATGCCATGCAGCACGGTGTTCTTTTATTTTGGTCTCACTTGCTCCCCCAACTCCCCCAACATCCCCCTGATGCGGCCGCCCCGGACAGCGCCCCCAGGACAGCCGACCCAAGTCAGTCCGTCAAGCTTCTGATCGATTCCAGTTGCAGACCCATCCAGGGCACGCTCCAGGAGTCCAATGTACTCTGCAGCGTCGCCTTTCTGCGTCGGATGCGAACGCACCGCGAACGAGGACACGGGACGACACTGACAGTCCCATGCATCCGACGCATGGATCCAGGCGGTGTTGGGTGCCAGTTCCGCGAAGTGTTTGTTTTTGGATGGGGCTGGAAGGAAGGATAAATAATTAACAAAAACAATCACCTTCTTGAGTCTTCAGAAAGGTGCCATCATCTCTTGTGGACTTCACGTATACGGTGTCAGAAAGACTGACATCTCCAGCTGCCAAGTGTTCGTGGACAGAAGCCTTTATCTGGTTCCAGACTGTCATCATGACAAATGGACTTGATGATCATTCTTTCACCTCCATAATCGAAGAAAACTAAAGGACCTGTTCGTGGCGAACGGGGCAGCTGGGCTCTGCTCGCCACTAGAGCGCCAGGCCTGGAAGTGACTCGCTGGTGTTGAGAACATGGTGAGCTGCATCTGTGTGGCATTCATGGCAGGATCCACCAAGAAAATCTGAAAAGCTCCATACACGATGCCAATGTCGAAGAGCCATTCCTCAGTTATTCCCATCCATCCCACATCCGTCCCAACGGAGGCCGCATACAAACGTGTGCCGCCCAAATCCCAACACGCCTGGGGAGCCTGGGCGGAACGGACGGAACGGACGGACCGCATGGAGGGCCCGAGGATTCTGGACTCGATGTGTCTGCAACACACCATGGGACTAGAATATGTACCCATTGATCTCCCTTTAACCACCCCAATGTATCTAATTATATAGAAATCATATATGTCCTTTACATGGCGTGTCTGGGTTGGTGGAAGCGTTGAATGAGTTTACTCTCCTGAAGTTGCGAAGTGGACCAATCCGCCCCCGTCTGAAGAAGAGAGTGACACATCTCTTCTCGCAGTCTATACTGGAAGAAATCCTGGACCCCTTTTCAGAGAAGGACCCGGCTTGATCTCCGAACAGTTCTCTTGGTACTAACCTTTGGGTCTTCAGGGGTGTCTCCCTATTTAATTACAGCTGGAAGGAGTCCTGCATCAACTACAAATTCAAACATATACAGTAACAATAACGCATCTAATAAATTCATATCATAAGTAGGACTGCGACCCATCTCACCTGGTTCAGCTTCAGGAATTCGCATAGAGCTCCTGATGGCACACCTGAACTCATTCTCACACTTCAAGTATCAGGCACAATGGTATCCGGATGAAGCGCTTGAGAATGACCCGCATGTTCGGCGATCGCCACTTTCATGGCATTCACCAAAGACCAGTAGTACTCGGACCTGCTCGGACGAAAGAGGTCGAGTCGTTGAAGGAAAACCTGCAAAGAAGACTCACCTGTTTTTGCCTCGTTTTGGGCGTTTTGGATTGAACTTCCAAATACCTGGGTACATCTGGGTACCTACTGAAATTCACCCGCTGAAACACTCAGGCAGGGGTATGCAGGAGTCACTTTTTTTGTGGCATTGCTTCATGCCATGTCCCTGTAGATTTGTCACAAGGTTGTCTTCAAAATCCCGTTCCGAGGCAAACACATCATTCTTGGAATGATAAGATAATTGAATTCGACTCAGGCATGGGGGACACTCCAATCATCTGAAGCAAATCCAATGATCTTTGATATTCGTTGATGATTGTTGATCTATACCAAGATCCAGGTGAGTTTGAAAATTCCGGCTCTGTCGTTTCTTTGGAGGGATCTTCCCAGATATCTCTCCGTTTGGGCACCAGTTCTGGTCCTCCACTTCTCGTGTTTTCCGTTTCACCCTCCAATGTGATTGAAAGAAAGTGCTTCCAAACGAACTTCTCAAGCTCACCGAGATACAAGACCCCGACATGTGAATAGTTGTAGGACATGGTGAATTCTCCGTAGATGACCTCCACATAGGGTGGGCAGTAATGTTGCTCATTCCAAGTGAGGCAATGCCATAAGCCATCACAGCTGAAGCCATATGGCAACGGGCAGCCCGTATACGCTCTGTGGGTCTCGGAACAGCCACAGGTGATCGGGCAAAAGGCTTCCACCGTCTTGAACTCCCAGTTGAACGTACTACTCCATGCAAAGCAGCTTCCCCATGAGATGTTTTGATCTGTCAAGTTTTGCATAAATCCACAGCCATTCTCCCACATGGCATTGGCGATCAAGAGTGCATCGGCTTGGCGATCCAACTGGGCTGGTGAGAGACCATAGGCTCGGATTGTCTCCACCCAGGCAACCCACGGTGCGAAACGTCGCAAACGCGAGGCGTTCTTCTCGATGCAAACGCTGCCTGACAGAAGGAGGATTGTTCTAGCGAAAGAAACCAAGCACACTGCCCAAAACAAAATACACACAAAGGCACAAAGTCTTCTCATACAGTTGTGCTTTTTAACTGTAACACTTCTTCACTTGCTCAGGGACTTTCTCTGAAGCTGGTGAAGTCCGGGGTAGCTCGACAGTCATCTGCTGGGCATCCTTGCAAAGAAATGCCTTCACCGCCCGGGTTTCGACATCCGCAACTCTCGGCGCATAAGTAGCGCGTCGCCCAGCCACGTCCTTAGATGCACGGTCGACAAGGGTACCGGCTAGGGTTGATGGCGCAAATAGGACTGCTAAGGCACAAAGCACTGCAAAGCAAGCCCAATGATGTCTTTTGGAGGGGGGTCCACATAAGCCACCTTCTAAAAGGTGGATTGTATGGGATTGTTCCACCATGTTCCACCTATTCTCAATCCACTATATGACGAGTGTTCTGCCATGGAAACAAATAAAAGGAGGAAGCCGAATTCAAGTGCAAAACGGTGCCTCTTGGGGCAAGTGACATCAACAGCCCAACTTTGCTCCACCAAGGGAAGATCAATCTCCCGAATGAAAGAACAGCCTAATGCCTAATCATAGTCATAGTGCCCTTCAAAAAGCTCTCCAAGTAGGAAAGAGAGCCCAGAAGTGCTGCATATCAGCATATCTATGCCTATGCTATCTACTTACAGTATCTTTCTATCTACGCGTTTCCAGGTGCTCCAATGTCTTCAGCTCCCCACACCTTTGATCACCTCCCACCTCACCGTGTCATGTGGTGCGGCCGACCGGTCCTGTTTTTGGGGTTCCCGGTGTCACCGGCAGTACCAACCTCCTGCCGTTCGTTGAAACGAAGACATCTTCCAATGTTCTCTTGCACCTGTAGGTGAGCAAGAACAGCCTATAACACGGAGAGAACATCACCAAAGACCATGTGAATATGAGTACATCACCGTCTTCGCAAAGTCCCAGGTGCCCTCATCTCCGCCATACTCAGGCATCTTCGTCACAGAATTGCAATAGGGCAAGGCATCTGCGCAGCTTTGAATACTATCATTTTGCAGAAAATATCCTGAGACTCGGCTGAAAACGAGAGCCTCCGAGAAACGGAGGTAAGATTAACACAGGCCGAGTAAACAATCCCTGCAGTGAACAAATCCCATTGGTTCTGTGAAACTAGGCAAGTCACGGTTTGGGTATGTTTGTGTCCACCAGGCGAAGGATGTGCGATGGGACGTTTCTTCGCGGATGGCCAGCTCGGTGATTTACTTACACTTGGTGACTCGATGCACAAACGAAACCTGTTAACTTCCACCAAGTCCGATGAACCTCACCGGACACGATCCCGTTATGGCCGGCGATGATCGAGCTCGCCCCACCGGGGTTGGCTGGGGTCGCTCCGGTCGCTGGTCGCTGCAGGATGACGGATGGATTCCACCTTCGTTCCTTGGCCCGAAATCACTCTCCAAGATGCGAAGGTAGTTCAAGAGAGGCTCTTGGTTGGCCAAATCTCCACAAGAAGGGTTGCTCGCTTGGACCAATTCTGGATGGCTCATGGCAGCAATATCGCCTTGGCAGGGCCAGATTGGCCCTGTGGCCGACCGTGGGACCTGTCGAGTTGCCATGCAACGTTGGTCAAACAGAACGGGGGGCGATGCCGTCGGACCGGCCCCCTGCTCGGAAGGCCCTCGGCACGGGGGGCCTGATGGTGATCACAAGTCGCATCCTTCCCATGTGCTCTTGGAAACTAAAGCCATTTTGATCAACACGGTCCAACAAAATGAATTTGAATTTAAAGTTTGAACCGAATGACATGAAATCTCTGGATTGGTGACAGAGGGACATCACGACGTGACCGTGACTCCACCGACGACGTCCCGTCACGTCCGTCACCGTCGCGTTCATCGAACGAACGCGGTTTGGTCGAAACCTGGTCGAAGTCACTGAGAACGCTCACCTCGGACTCCCAGAGGCCGAAGCGAGTTTGATTGATGGAAGAGCCGTAACCAATCCTCTCGGCCTCCTCAATGGCCCTGGTCCTGGAAGAGCCGACCAAGTCACTTGGAGGCCGCGAAGGAGTTTTTCGCGGGGGCCGATGTGATCGAAAGGTCTAGACCGACCGGGGGAGTGTGGCAGGTGAAGAAGTTTCAGGTCCATTCCAAAGGGACAGCCTGAGGTGAGGAAACATGATCATATGGTGCTCAAAAGTTCCACATGGGCCTGGCTTGGGGTGGATTTTTAGATATGTTTAGACTCGAGTGAGAAATTTGGTGGTTGGGTCACGCTGGGTCTATCACTCACAATGTCTGAAATAATCATAGTGACAGCCTTTCAACATCTGCTTTTTTGATCCGGGCTGTATGTTGTTTTTGCCTGTCACTAGTCAAGCCAAAAAGACTAGCAGAAGGTCAAACCGATCATCCATTGGCCGAGGCTGAGATTTCAGAATTTCAGTGACTCCACCTAGCCTAGGAAACCCATGGAGGATTTCAGTGGGTGTGATCAGTGTTTTCGATGACTCCGCTCCGCGCCTGGTAATTCCTAGTTGTTCCTTTCACCGAACATATCAGAAACCCATTCCAGCCCAAAATCCAGCTAAGCGTCTTGATGCTGTCTTCTTCTTCGTCCCAACCACCACCAACGGTGGGTGATAAGCGGGTGATCCGATTCTTGTCCAAGGTCCATACAAAGTCGACGTTTCCACCACCTTGACGTCCGGGGACTACGGAGGTTCGGGAACCCAAGAGCCGACCAGAATTTGATCCCAATCCAAGAAGCCATGCAAATTGGAACAACCAGTGTTCCACTAAGGGCTTTTGCCTAGGAAAAACCCGGGTGAACCAGTTCTTTTATAGATAGTCGAACTGAAGGCCAGGGGCCACCGCTGCGTTGGTGGTGCACTGCACTACTTCTTCTTCCCTGACCGCGGGTCTTCACGCGGGTCGAGCGCTCGCGTCTGGCGCGGCGGTCTGGCCATGAGACACATGGCCGACTTCACCTCTTCAAGCGTTTGCACCATAGGTCCCAGCATGGTGAAGTAAACAAAGAGCGTGAGCCCAGGAATGGCCAGGCTCATAAAGACGGATTTGGCATCTGCCCCTGGCGTTTTTGGGGGAAGAACATGGGGAAGAAAAGCTTTCCAGATACCCAGGAAATCTGTTCAGGAATCCCATCAGTGCTTCTTCAGCTGCCTGGTTTAGTGATAGCAAAAAGGACATGTCCCAACATCCTCTGACACCTTGGTCTCGGCGGTTCTTCGGACCGTTGGGTGATCGCCTTGAAGGACAGTCCATGAAGGACTCCCCTTGGTCTGGCAGGAATCCCTCAGCAAAAAGATGACAAGCACAAACAGCCTTAGACTTATCACCTTTTCATCAACTAAGGTCAACTCATTCCAGCTCACATTCCTTGTTCTATCTTCTTCATCTCCAAATGAGATCCCAGCATCGCGCTGGACAAAACAAGCATATGGTTTTTTGGTGCTGTCGCCTCGAATCCTGGGCAAGGACGGCATGGGCAGTGGATCCAGTTGATGAACCAAATGCCTCCCTGGAGTCGTGGCTAAGGCGTCGAACAAGAGATCATCGATGTCCTCAGGGTGATTGTTAACCCTCGCGGCGAGCGGACAGATGTCCTTCGGTGGCGAATGGAAGACAAATGTCGGTGGAAGAAAACAGGACCTCCGTCCTCGAGGATCTCCCAGTGCCTGAAAAAGGTCAGCTCCCCCCCCAAAAAAAAAAGTTGTTAGCTCCCCCCCAAAGGTCAGCTCCCCCCCATATGGAGTACTTCAGTGAAGCAACCAAGTTGAACAGTCTCTTTCTTCCCCTCGGCTTCTGGCGATGGGATTCAGTTTTGGCGTTCAATGTGTGTCACCCGTTCTGTCGTGACGTGTATTGTTCGAATGGGTACCCTTTTGGCCCACTGGATGTTCCAATGGTACCCATTCGTTCGAGGTGTTTTGGGATGCGTCCACCTTTGCTCCAATATGACCCGAAAAACCTTCCAGCCTGCCGATTCTTTCAGTCTTGAACAAGGGGGATCATCTCGAAGGGGAAAGAGATCCCCAAACACTTCCTCAGCTCAGTCTCCAAGATAATCCCCAAGGCCACGGCGTTTAAAATGAGCTCTGTGACGCTCACCTGGAGAAACACCAACACGGTAGGAGAAAACGAAACATGGGAGACCAAAATCCCGAAAGAGATCAATTTATGATCAAATTCAAGGGAATCCCATTCAGAATATGTATGTTGCACAGTTGTTCAATCAAAGTTAACATCCTTCTTTTGAAGCCTCAACGATGGACACGTCCAACGACCACGTTGCACACGTCGCCGGCGAAGAGTGAAAGGCTGTGGTTGAGGGTTCTCAAATCACTCAGAAGTAGGCTAACGTGTGCTGTTTTTTCAACCAGTGTGGTTGAGAGCTGTAAAATCATATATATATATATTATATATATAATTATATTGTATATCTCCAGTTGTTGCATGCTAAAAAACATTGAAGGTGTTTTGAGGGTTTGGTAGGATGGTTTGGATGATGGACGTGCAAATAATGCATCTCGTAGAGAACACATCCCAGAACATCTGGACTCTTGTGTTATAGCCAGCTGCTGGGCGAAGCAAGACATGGCACCTCTTTGAGCTTTCCTTTCAGACTCTCCCCTGTTGAAACCTCTCTTCTCTCCTCAAGCCTCGAACCCCTCGCATGTCATCCAATCCTGACCCCGACTAGTGGCTCAGGTTCTCTTTAAAAGGAAGTTTAGAACAAGTTGAAGTCAAAAGGAAGTTTAAACATGCTAGGAAGATGGTCAAACTCCCACTCTGACCCCATCTGTGGCTGGACTAACTAGTGGCACAAGTTTTTGACATTTCCCCAGATAGCTGAAAGGTATTCTAGGCTATAGGGTCTTTAAATGTTTTCTACTTCTCTCATTACTTCTCAATTCTCAATGATTCTGAATGACTGGGTGGCTGATCGGCGTTTTGATCCACCACTGCCGCTGCTGCCTTGTTTCCGCGCATGTCTCCCCACTTGTCTGCTTGTGATCGACATGTTTGACGCTGCTGCCTCTCCTAACTTGTCTCCGAAATGGTTTTTCCATGGGACCGAAATGGTGTTCAACTTCTTTCCCCACTTCGAAGAGGACCACATTGCTAGAGCCATTCCGACCTTGTTGGACCCACTCCGTTCGAGTCGCGATGCACATGCTCCGTTCGTAGCATCCTTGTTGCTAGTAGTAAGGCCAGGAGCCCCGTTCGTAGCTTCTTGTTCTTATTGATGTGTTAGTTTCAGGTGTTTTCATTTTGTTTTTAGATGTTTTTAGGCGTTGTCAGTATCTGGGGTCTATGTCGGTGTAGTTTGAACATGCGTCGGAAAACTGTGTATGGGAGCTGAAATCCGCTCTCCCGAGGGCCCCAAAGACATCATGGTTTTGAGATCGGAGGCTCAACTGTAAAATCTGGAATTCCGCTCTACGGCTATACGGCTCATGTCAAAGACTACAGACTCTACAGACTACAGACTACAGCTGGTGCAAACCTCGGGCATACCCAATGGTTCATCCCACCGAATCATTCCTTTCGGCCAGTCACTGTGTAGACCAGAAAGTAGGTCCCCACCATGACCAGCAGCCCGGCGGCCACCAGGCGGTATAGCAAGAGCAGTCCACTGGCAAGCTTGCGGCTGAAGGTCACCGCACGAAGCCGGTAATGCACCACCTCCGCGGCGCACGATGCACGCGGACACGTCACACGGTCGGGTGTGTCAGGGCCAGCGTGATGAGCGACCGCGGGAGGAACCTGTGGCGCAAAAAATAACATACGGAAGGCAGCCCTTGGCGGAACATTGGGGTCGCTCGTAGAATGATGTGGAGATCGGTTTGCCCTGTCAGCCCTTTGGCCCACCTTCCAACGCAATGCTGACCGGAATGGACGAGACGCGGATGAACAGGCGATCTATTACCAGGAGCCTGTGACAAGTGATGACCCCCGAACATCTCCAGGCAAACAATTCTCTCAAATGGACCTGTTGACCAGGCTATGTCAGGCCCGGGCAGGCAGCCAGTCTGTAGGATTGAGCTGCATTCATCGAAGAAATGGCATCACAAATACTGGTGTAGATCGTTCCAGTAGTGATCCGGACTTCTGGAATGCGCTGGTGACGTCACTTGTCTCTATTCTTTGGTAGACCGAGCAGAGCTTCGACCGACCTATGACCTAAGTGTGTATCTGCATGGTATTCAGAAATCCTCACCGAATGCATCTGTTTGTGTGGGCTTCCAGGAGCCCAAAGAAGAACAGAAGGACAGCAAGACAGCACTTGACAAGGGTTGCCCCAGGCTGGGGATAGGGGCTTGAATTTCTCGAAGCTGCAGCAGTTAGTTGCTGGTAGAGGTGGACATATTTGTCAATCGGAGAAATATGCACTGCTTCGCCCCATTTTGTCTGGATCTTTTCTGTGTTAAAGGTCAATACTCAGCAAAAGACGAATGACTTGACCTGCTAGTATTGGAGGTCCCTGTGCCTGAGGTGCTGTTGGCCTTTGCATCAATCCCTGACCTCAGTTTGAAACATGCTTGGGATACCAAGTAGTAGGTATCAACTTAGAGCACCTCTAAACCATCCCAAAAGGTGGATGGTCGCAATTCCACGCCAACTGAACCGTGGAAGCTCAACCCGGAAGCGGAATGCGCCCGTCGAACTCGCCTGCGTGAAGGGGTTCTCCCGCTGGTCCAGCTTCGTAAGCCCCCGAGGCATGGCCATAACGCCGCGGTGCAAGGCCAAAGCATGACTCACCTCAGGGAGGAATGGGAGAGAAGAAAGGGAGGACAAAGCGAACAAGAGAGCAAAAACAAAAAGAGAGGAAAAGAGGAAGAGGACCTCACAAACAACCACCAAGGGGGAAGGGGGTTTATCCCGAACTCACTTCCGGAGCATGACCTGAGTGGTTTGCATCGGTTTCGCCCGGTTGCCAAGTCAGGTGATCTGAACTGAGTGACCCCTCGAATCGTCTGATCATTTCAAAACATGACATCCTGAGGAGATATGTTCGGATATGATATGTTCCTATAGTTGATCTTTCAATGTCCCACTGTTCATGCTTACTACTCTCTTGCCACAATGCACACACCCGAGAATAGTCGCTGCTTGGTGACACATGTATTCATGTTGGGATCATTAATTAAGTGTTTGCGCGGCTTGAGCAAAACATCGCAAACATGTATATACCTGGACCATCCAATGGGTGTCCAATAGACTACCATGCCCTACTTATGGCCCTCCACTGGGCACCCATTGGAAGTGCTAGGTATAACTTTCTCGCATTTGGATGGGGGTCACATGTACGTATACCGCGGTTCCTTACCGCGGTTCTGTTAAGTCACGGTCGTTTTTACCGCCGGAAGACACATCGTGGACACATCGTGGACACATCGTATTCGATTTGGTCAAAGTGGTTCAGGAGTTCAGGCATTAAACTGTTGTGGACATACAGTAATATAGAACTATATAGAAATGGTCAGTCCTCCAACAATGACAAGAATTCAAGAAAAAATAGTGGTTCAAACACCTGAGATGGTTCGGCCAGGCGCTGCGCCAGCGACAGTGTCCCAACAAGTCCCGATTTTGAAAGCTTGGAAGCCTCCTTTGCCACCATCAAATACCAACAAACCAGCGCCACAATGCAGAGGATTTGGCCTGTGAAGAAGCCTTCCATGCCCGCTGCGTCGGACTTCAGGTACTTGTTGATATCCCTCAGTTGGGAACAGGTTTAAAGCCGGCCTCGAAATACGTTCAACTTCCGCAACGGGTCCCCTATGTCTTGAAGAAAGCAAAACACGTGTGCGTCTTGTGATGCTAGTTGACATGAAGACGTTCGCATAATGCTTTAAAAAGGGACAGGGATCAAACAAACTCAAACGGATCAACCTGTTAATGTTTAGGAACTGAATGGAACTATAGGGGATCAAAATACGACGAATACGGATCACACAAACTGAACTGCTGGTATTTACAGCTCTCAGGGCACCCGAGGTCGTTGGGGTGTCAGGTTTGTGGCCACAAAAGGGCAACGTCTGACGGGCTCTCGCTTGATGCACATACAGGTGTGTATTTTTATGGCCTCCATCCATGGCCCATAAATGGGTGTTTTCGGTTGGAATGGCTCCTGACCGCCCATCTTACAAAAATAGCCATGTGGGTCTGCTTTGCCAAATGCGTTCTTTTCTCCTGGGTTGGCCGCAAACAGATGCGTGTGCAAGATATGAAAGGCGTGCTTTTATGGCCGGGTGGTTCTGAAAGGCTGGGCGTGTGTATGGTTGGAATGGTTTGTTCCTGCCCTAATTGTTTATTCTTGGTTGGCCCACAAACAGATGCGTGTGGCTGGGATAGCTCATGTGTGTATTCATGTGTGCTTGCTTCAAGACCTCACCCCACAAATGGCTGTGTAAGGTCTCTTGTAAATTTCACGTTGAGGTGGGGCCACAACAGGATTTGCCAGGTCTGTTCTAAATTCTACCTCCACCCTGGTAGGACGCATAGAAAACCAAAGAAGCCCACAAAACCACTGATACAAAAGAAGGTTTCGTGGCAGCGCCCCCTCATGAGCACACAGAAAGCTACAAAAGCTTGCTTGGAAACGAGTAGGACATAGTAGGACCATGTCATGTGACCCCGGACATAACGGACGCCAGCATCGGACAAGAAGACTCGAGAAAGTGACATCTTTGGACCAAGGCAACCAGGGAGAGCCCAGCACCTTCTTTAAGAGCAAGAAAAACTAGCGATGTCCTTTGCTCCGTTCGTACGTCCTTGTTCCTAGTAGCGATGCCAGGAGGCCCGTTCGTAGCGTCCTTGTAGCTCTGTTTTTTGCAGAATTGGCGCAACATGCAAATCTCTCGCTTTTTGATCAATGGACCACGAGGACCAATGGACTATAGGCCTAGGAGCCTAGGATGGACTAGGGGACCTACTCAGGATTACCTTTATTGATCCTGTTATGATGTTGTGTTGATGCCCTGCCCATCCCCACAAGAGACATCTCTGAAACACATGGTCCGCCGCACAACTAAAATGAATTCCAATTCTATGTGTTCGTCGGTGACCAACTTTGGATCCAAAGCTTCATTGACGATGAGACAAGCTGAACTCTTTTCCTTATTGCAACTGACAGTGGGCCCCTTTCCTTCCCAAGGCAAGCGAGACCAACGCGGAACATCGCGGACATTCCCACCCAACCGCCCCAGGTTCGAGACCGGAGATCGCTTCACAAACCCCAACAGCGAGGCGCTCCATGAGAGCCACTTGGATTCCAGAGGACTCTAAGGATTTATCGATCTTGCACACTCCTCGAGCGCAGCGAGGAGGACGGTCCTAACATGGAAGATGGTTTTGCCTGCATCGTTGGTCGACCGGTACCGTGGCGCGCTTTGGCGCATCGAACAAACAATAAGAACAAAACACTGTGAACGGTCCATCCTGGGCATCTGAAAGGCTCAAAGGAGCCTGGTCAAGAAGTGATTCCCGACTTGGGCCAATTCAACGCAAATCACCCATGTCTATGATGCACATCTAGGCTACCTCTTATGTCCTTCCTGCACTGATCACGAGCCTCAGGACCTCAGATTATAGTGGTATATCCCATTATTCGTGAATTTGCGAGTCTTCGGTATCGAGTCTTGCCGCACCATCTTCAGCCCAGCCACGGTGCACCAAGGATTCCTTTGCCACAGCGCTATAATCTGCGAAGGAATGGCCCGAGGACCTTCGCCACCTGCACGGGAAGAAACAAGCTCGGTGCGATGGATGATGTTCCAGTCAGTCAAAAGACCCCCTTAAAAAACAATCCGATAATTGCCTTTTGTCGTTGTAGTTCGCATGTCGCTGAGGATCGGATGGGTCAAGTGGGACAGAGCGGGGTCTACTTCCAGGTACACCTGGAGCTTCCTCCACGAAGCTTGGACCTGGAACCTAAGCCGGAAGGCACAGTTCAACCTGACACCTGCAAAAAAACATCCTTTCAGATCCTTTCAGATGGTCCCAATCCTCCCCCCTCTCCCAAAAAACAAACTATGACTATGATGGCTAACAGAAGTGCTTTTTTTTGGGACGACGACGGCGAAGACTCCGTGTTTTCCGCCTCAGGGAGGCAAGGATGGCCTCTTCATCGACATCCGGAGAGGTGAAATTGTACGCCGCGATGGCCACAAAGACGACCTCGGTGGAACACCCACGGGTCCCGGCTGGGATGGCCACCGCTCATTCGAAGAACCATGGCTGCCGAAACGGCCGGCCCCAGCGAGTCTGGAGCTTCGAAGTGAGACTGTTTTGGGTGAAGGAATGGGAGTGGACACTTGGGGGTGGTATGCATAGAATCACATGGATGTATTTTGAGTGTACTGGTGTCCATGGCCAAATCATCCTGAAGATTTCCTAATTCATGGATCAGATGGTGGCCACCCTCCACTGTTTCCCGGATCATCCCAGCCTACCCCTGAATCAACCTCCCCTGTTCTGTCAGTGTCCAACAGGGGTTTCCTCAGCCCGATGGGCTCCCAAGGCCCACTCCTGTCCGACATGTAGACGTTGTTACGTCGATCTAGCGGAGTGTGGCGGTGGTGCTTGGTGTGGCGGAAGATGAAGGAGACTTACAACAAGTTCAAATCAAGAACGAAACAATCAACACACCAAACAATGACGTCTATAGCCTATGTCAGTCCAAAAGAGAAAGAGATACATACGCATGATTACGCATGCATATACACATCACCCCTCGAAAATAACACGAAACACCCCAAAGCCGGTGGCACGCTTTTTCATCGGAATCGGAATCGGGTGGGACATGGTTGGACCATTCCTTTTTCCAGCGCAAGACTCCCGGCGTGTTCACCAGTCACTAGGCCCCCCAAAAGCGAGGCGCTTGCATGAGGACATTCACCACCGCCAATAAGAAGGTCTGAAAAGAACCCAGGGGTCCCAGCGCTCCGGTACCGATGAAGATCACCAGATCCCAAGTGGACTCCCCAAAGGTGTAGTATTCCTCCGCACGAACTGCATGCTCCGCATATGCGGTGCGGTGCGGCGAACGAAGAACTGGAGCGTTTGGACATCTTTTGAGGTCACACTGGACATGGAAATGCAGAAGTCCCTTCAAATGCATTGTCTTAATAAGGGCTGTACGCTCCAACTATTCCCACAGACCAGAAGGGAGCAGGTAGAAAACCTGTTGTTGAAAGGTAGACCGAAAATCGTGCCATTCTTTCGGTCCCATTCCCAGGCTCCAGCTGGTAGACATCAACATACCGCAACAAACTTCAAACCATCTTCAGAAAGAAACCTCGGAAGGCACCTCGGCACAGCCCAAAACCGGAAATTCACCTCAGTCTAGACCGAGATTCATTGGTCTGGGTATCTAAGGTCTTCTCATCGATCACGGAGACCTTGTCCCGGGAGATCTCGGTCATCTTCTTCACTTCGCGGCGCTGCAGGGGCGACAGGGCGGCCAAGTCCTCGACGCTGACGCGAGAAGAGACTGAGACGGGCAGCGGAGGTGGCTCCAACTCCTCGGCTCCGAAGATGTGTCAAAGCTTAGGAATGTTGATTTGAGATATTTGGGCCTATTGAGAGGCACACATGCAGCGCACTCCCATAATCATTCTGGAGTGCGGGTAGATCGACTTGTAATATGTTCAATTACTTTGCTTCGTGTTTGTAGTTGAGAAGCACTCCAACAAAGCATCAAATGAAACACTTCGAGACTCCACCATAATTATGTTCCCCTCATCATCCACAGTTTCCTCCTCGTCTGGTGCTGCTTTCCGCGCCGGACTGGGCGCCTGCGCGCCCAAGCGGGGGGCATTCAAGGGGCTTGCACTGGGCACTTTCTGCAGCTTGTCCGCGAGCTTACTCGAGGTGTCCAGTTTGGAGCCGGAAGAGGATGAAGAAGAGATCTGGTCCTTCTTCAAATTCAGCAGCTGCTCAACTGCAAAGAGTCGCTCATGAAGCTGGGGTACCAAGGAGGCCAAGATGATGGTCTCTTCCAACTCTTCAAAGCGCTCATCGATGGCATGAAGGATCTCCAACTCTTGCGGCGCATAGGTCCCTTGACGTTGGAACTTCGTTTTCACCATCCCGCCGTGGCCCCTGAACCCAGCCCCAGTTCAACCCCCGGTTCGCTTCGGCCGAAGCGGCCGTGAAGAAACACTCCGTCTGGTGAAGCTGAGGGTGGCGGCTTGAAGCTGGAATAAGCTGAGGGTGTTTGGTGAGAAGTTTGAAGTGTGGAAAGCTCATGCAGGAGCACAAAAGCTTGCAAAGCCCTACTCACTGTGCCAAACATGGTCCGGCACGCCAACTTCTGTGGCTGAGGTGTCAAACATAAGGAAAAGTAGGCATTCTTAGCTTTGTGTGTTTGTGCCTATCAATGTGGTGTGTGTCTGTGCTTCTGACTTCAGAATTGCACAGTAGCTCTCCATGCGGATCGAAGAATCGTCCAACGCCCGAAGAGTCGCCCGAAGAGTCGTCGAATCAACGCTGGACGCTGCGACGTCATTGTCTCGGTCTGTCTTGGTCGAAAACGAACGTCGCAGCGGTCCGCCACCAGTTGGAGGCCAATGTTGCACCCTTTGGACGTCTATCCCTTAGAAAAATCGTTTGGCCAGATCACTAGAATCTAGAATATATGAACAAACAAGCACTGTAGTTCTTGCTGGTACACCTCAAAGGTTCTCCCGAAAAGCCAGATTCCGAGCTCTTCCGCCTTCTCCAAGGCCACGATGCAGTTCGACACCCGAGAGCCTCAAAGAAAGGACGCCGAAGATGAGACCAGCGGTGCCGGGGTACCAAAAGCATCGAAGTCGAGATGAGTACAACTTCAAATGAGTGGAAAAAGGGGAAAGAGTGGAAGAAAACACGAAGTACAACCTCCGAACCGCCCCACTTTGAGCAAACATGGGATGTTTTTCTCAAGCACATCATGTGGGGCACGGAATGACCTGTAGTTGATAGTTGGTTCTCCAACCACTGGTGTGGCTTTCCAACAGTCCCACTTAGCTGACTTAATGCAAGCATGTCACTCGGTTTTATTGGTTTAAGAACCACAAGCTCCATTCCATTTAAAATTAGAGAGGGCGTTGGTAGGGCTGTAAGATTTGCCTTGCAAATGCTTAAACACATCGTATTTTACAGTGTTTCTTGCATACAATAGGCTATAGGCTCAAAATCAAAAGGAATTCAAAGGGAATTAACAATTCAGTTGGATAATTAGGACTTAAAAGCAGGGAGTTCAATATAGTTTTAAAGAAGAATGAAAGGTGCAGACATTATTGCAGGGGATGTCATTATTGAAAGTGGTACCAACGCATAAAGTGTAATATTTGAGGGTGTAATCTTGTTAAAACATGGAAACGCGTAGACAACAATCCAGGGTATGCTATTATTCAAGCCAAAAGGGATACAATATTGTAGAGGGTTATATGAAAGATTTCTAGTGTACTGGGCTACCCCTTTTGTGGAATAGATGTTTGCAATAAGTTGAAAAGACAAACTAAGGGATCCAAAAGAAATCAACTAAAAGAATTCAAAGGGCAAGCTAGAGGAATCAACATGAATTTCAAAGAACATCTCAGGGAACATAAGGACATCAATTAAACAGCAAAAGGTATTTAAAAGAGAATCAACAAGAATCAAAAGGTATTTAAAAGGATATCAAAAGGAATCAAAAGAAATCTGAAAGGACATCAAGTGGAATCAAAAGGACTTCTAAAGAAAACAGCAATCAAAAGGTGGTTAAAAGGAAATCAACAAGAATCAAAAGAACATCAAAAGGAGTTTTATAAAAGGAAAGCAATAGTCATAGGAAAGCACATGTAATAAATAGGGTTTTACACATGCAGACTTCCAAGACTTAGGCTTCAGGTCAGATCCCAAGTTTCTAGGAGACTTCGGGGGGTGGGTGACATCCAAGAGTCAGAAAACCAAAAGAACACACTATTCCAGAAGAACACACTATTCCAGAAGTGTCTTGTCTGCCAGCAAAGAGTATCAGAATATTGCCTGTTTATGTTTTACGATGTTTTACGTGTCTTGGTTCGATGTTGTTCTTTTGGGGTTTTGTGTGTGTGTTTTGTTATTCTTGGATTACTTTGTTTGGTTGGATGCTTTAGGTTTTTCCCATGGGAAGTAGATACAGGTGATACCACATGTTTGAAGCGGGCAGCAGATGAAAGTGATGAAGCATATGTTATTGACTGGGGATTTGTCACATGGACATGCAGCATGTATATAATGCAACATACAATTACAAGGGTATCTTCGCAGCCCTAGGAGTGCCCCTTCTGAAATTTAAGTCTCCGATGCAAAAGACAACACCATTGCATGCTCAAACCCAGATGGTACCTTTTGAAGCAGCCTCGATTCCACCGTTGCCAGCATGAGCATGCACATCCCCCCACATCCCCCCCAAACCCAGCCCATCCAAAAAAGTGTCCGTACGCCCGTATACGTTTGGTCTTTTGCATGCTCGCTACATGGTGGACTGGTGAAGATGCTGTCGAGTGGAACCCAGTTACCAATATATAATGAACCAGGGTTTTAGTCTGTAGGTCACTACTGGTTACCAGCGAACGGTCTACTAGTGGGGGGTTGGAGTCGGTCTTGAGGCTGCGGCGTTCCAATTCATGTTGACGGTCCAGCTTGGACGCCTCCTTCTGAAGAGCTCCTCAGTGTGTCGGTCCCCAGATGGTTCGAATACCTAAGAGCGATGGCCTCCAGCCTCCAACCTACTAGCGACGATCCGGACGCTTCCTTCTGCACGATGTACAGTGCGAAAGATCCGTTGCCCAAACAACGAGACGTCAGATTTGAGGCATGGGCCGATGTGACCTTTGTGCTCATCCAAGGCCATGCTAATCCGGGTGTTTTGTGTATGAGCCTGAAAAGCAGAACAATCCGCACACGGCATGGCGAGAACTGCAACATTGGACTCGATCTAGAATCTACAGTAATTAGACTTTTAGGGGTCAAAGCCACCTTTATCTGGGTGAAACAAGTGGCCATTGCCTACCCTGTTTATTTGAAGGGTGCAACATGTAGAACCCTGTATAAATAAATAATGAAGTAAATACGAGGCTCACAAAAGGATTCATAAGTTTCCAAGGAAACAAAAGGGTCATAGATAGAGTCAACAGCGAGAAGCCCCAATCCAATTCAATCATTGATGTCACAAAGAGCAGCTTGTTCACGTAGAGTGAAGAAGGGACTTCGTACGATAGGCTCTTCACACCGAGTGTCTTCACAAAGAAGAACTTGTTCGTGCACAATGAGTAAGTAATTCATGAAAAGTGAAAGAAGAGCTTAAACACAAAGACTCCGGTGCAACGGGGTCAGTCAAAAGGTTGTTGCTTTTGCAACTTGCGACGTTTCTTGGGGTTGCCCGCTAAATATATCAGAAGGCTGGGCTTGGAGGTCCCTGTCAATTGTTGAACTGAACACCAGACCCTGCGCTTGGAATCCATCTAAGCATCATTCTAAACTGTGTTGGTGTCGCATGCGAAACACGCACCAGTTGGGCACAACATCCTAAATTCCTCCCAGGAAACTAGATGTCCTTTCAACTCGAACTGCCACCATGGAAATATGGAATCCTGAAACCTTTCAAACCTCCATCCTTTCGGGTCAGTGGCCTCCATGCCCATCTCAGTCACGCGGTCCGACAGCGACTTCATCGCGGTGGCCTCGGGCGTTCGTGCTATGCATCGGTCGGGTGGTTTTGGGTCCCAAACACGAGAGCTATACCCTGAAACAACCACCCCAATGGATGTACATATGAAAACTTCATGGAGTCCCTATTTATCGTCTTTACAATATGGCATGGATCAAGATGGATCATCAGCAAAAATCATGGGCAGGTGAGAAAAGCATCACTTCAAGTGAGAAAATATCTAACATATAATTCTTCAGACTCTCCATGAATATATGCGCTCGGACTCATCCGGTCGACATCCTCTCTCCCTTCACTTCAGGGTATTGCTGACCCATTTCCTGATGGCTTTACGACCCATTTCTCCGTCCATCCTCTCTCCAACATCCGTTCTCCGCTCACTCATGACTGGCACTCTCCCCGTCGACCGATGACAGGCTCCGGGCCGCGGCTTTTCGACCTGGGCGTTGCTGATCGGCTCGGAGACGAACGAGGCCTTTTTTTTTTGTGGAGACGAACGACACATGTCTATTACTATGTACAATACATGACCTTGGAGAAGAAGTCTTCCATCTACACATTCGGAGTGTACCACGGTTTGCTTGCACTCAAAAACAGCTTTGGACGGGTGGACGGGAAGGTGTCCCTGATTGTTGCATTTTCTTGGTGGGTGATGGTCAGCACACATCTGTTGGGTTTCTAAGTCAGGCCTTGGCGAGTACCAGTTCCTTACCACGAACCCCCCCGCAAAAAGGTCACACGCTGATGAGGTTCACTGAATCTTTTCACTTTGCCTTCCAGGGAATGTTTATTCTGAAAGAACGGCTTGCAGGTTGGTAATGCAATCCTCTCTCCAGTTTGACTGCTTTAAACCTGACTCAGCGGACGGAACAAAAACATATTGATGGATACTAATTGTATCTAACTATAATAATGAACGATTTGAAATAACACACATTCCACAAAAATTAGTATTTCATAGAAAAATGAAAACACCCTTCATCTTTGAAATGTAGCTGTGGTTGCCTAACATCTTCCTCTTCTCTTGGGCGCTTCACCAACCAAAGCAAAAAGAACGTCTCTTTCTCACTGTCGAGTGGTCCTGCAGCATTGAGTGTCCGACACACCTCCTCGTTCATGGCCCGCAGGGAGGTTTCAGTCTGCGTGTTGCGTGTGTCCCGGCGCCACTTTCGTGTGTCGGCCGGTAGACGGACTCCCACAAAGACACTCGGCCCTTCTGGTTCCAACTCCCCCCCGCCAGGCCCCCGGGAGAAGGGCCACATGAGAGAGAGTGGTGGGTGGTTGTTCGCCGCCGAGAGTTTCTTCTCAGTGGATGAAAATCCCTTAGAAAAGGCAGGTGATCAGAGGGGCCGCGACCATGAGAAGATTGGATCTCTCGAGGGCGCATCAGGCGTGAGGCGAGAAGACCCTGCAGGTTCTGCAGGTTCTGCAGCCGGCAACATGTGGCTCCCAGAACACGATTGAACACACTTGGTCCCAACCAATCACTTCAGAGCCTTTCCTTATCTTTCCTTCAGAGCCCTTCTGCCTGTTCTCCCTAGAAAGTTCTTTGTTGGGACTCGGCAAAAGCATCAAACCCAAGGCCTTCTGCATCCGATCTTCCAGGATCTCCAAGTCATTCTGCTTCGCCAAGGTCTTCGCAAAGGTCTGCAAGCTCTCGACCTGCACGGCGCTCCACCGCGCGCAGCGGAGCTTCCACCGCGCTCTTAAGCGGAGCGGAGCTTCGGCGCGCCTTGTCCGAGAGCCCAGAGACTTCAGTGTTCAGAACCTTGCTTTGCGGGTCTCCGGTGAAGCAAAGGGTTTCGACCCCTGATGCTTGGAGGCTTTTAAGATGCGTGGTATGTTGTGGCTTTAAGAAATAGAACAAATGTGTGTGCTTTGTGGCATGTTTTCTGCCTGTTCTCCGTGATGTTGGAAGGTACACTTCGCTTCTCAAGATGGTGTGTCCCAAGATTTCATGGTCTCTGGGAGATTCTCTCATAGACTGGGCCGGTCCGATGTAAAAAGCATACATAAAATTAAAAAGACGTTAAATAAATTGATATATACATACATCATACACCCAACATCACCCAACCAAGTTGAAGGTCCCTGATGCTAAGCCTGGGTTAATTGCTACTATATGATTGGTCTATTGGTCCATGACTTGACCATGTAGATAGACGAGGAATGGCACAAAGATGCTCAAAGCTGAGGTTGCAAAGGCATCAGCCAACGATGCCTTTGGCATGAAACTCCCAGACACGCAAACAGTCCATCCATCTGCAATTGTCAGTTCTAGGGGGTCGGTTTGCAGGGTTTCACTGTGAAGGACCCATATATGAACCTCACTCACCGGCAACACAATACACGTCAACATATGGGTGTGCAACTTAAATAGGGAGACCTCCCAGGCAACGACTCCCTGGAAGAAGGGATCTCCCTCGCTCAAAAACCAATTGGTTGGATATCTCTCCAAATATATACAGTATTCAAATACACACCACCCTATGAATTCCCTCTAGAAAACCAGGCCTTTCTGTTCACTCTTCAACCAACCGTCCAGCGTCCGGGTACGTCTTTCCTTTCGTCCCTTGGATCCCCAGGCCGCGGCGGTCTTCTCTTGGGTCTGCTGCAAGGCGTCCAAGCCTCGAATCGTCACAGCACCCGACGGTTCAGTCGATGTGACGTGCCTCCTGTGCCCGCAACGATCGTTCATTCATGCGCGATCGTTTACCACGACCTGTGTTGTTGTTGCGAGCTTTTGCGATGCTTTTTGCATCCCTCTCCTGTTTAAACCACGACAACCTTTTGAATCTTTTGAAGGTCATTCTGCAGAGATGTACATAAGTCATGCCCGCAGCATTGTAGATATGTCCTGAAACCATGCGTCAACGAAGAGTTGAACCAGCAATTGAATCCGGCAAGGACTTCCCTGCCACATTCAGGCGTCCGGACGTGCTTCGGCGCTCTTGATGTTTCGCATCATCTCGCGTGAGGCCTCAGATGGCGCGAGGACAAGGCGCCGCTAACTTGTGAGGTGGGCGAAGGCTGTGGTCAAAGCAGTTGAGTCCAAATTTGGGAGGTGTTCCTAAGAGGGAAGCTCTCTGGTCAAACGAAAGCATCGACAAGCAAAAACACAGGGCCATGACATCTAGGGTTAAGGGAGATATGCGGCCGTGTGTGCAATTCCAAAAGCAAATCTGCAACCTTTCGGAGGGCCCAGCTGGCCCTGACCATTTTTGATCCAAAGCTTCACTTCCCAGCCAGCCAAAATGCTCTTGCATCTCCAAGCAAAATATGATATTGTATGCGCCATAGCATGTTCGTCGCTGAACTTCAGACGACCTACAGGAGCGACCGATCGGTGAACAACGATCGCACCTCTTTGTTCGGGGACGGCGCGCGGTTTCAGCGCGAGCCTTTGTTCGGTGGACGCACTGCTGGAAACATGACTCAGTGCAGGTCAGTCAGCCGCACGGGAGCACGCACCACAAGGTCAGTCGGACTCACCACAGACAGTTGCGCTGATCGTGCGGCCCTGTCTAGCACCAGCCTCCCCGGTCCAACAGACTCTGTTTCACGTAGCTGTCCAATTCAAATAGACTCTGCCTTGCGCTCACAGAAACGGCAGATTCACCTGGTGGATGTGGATCGCCCTCTTCACCGCTCCGCTCCGCTCCGCAGCGCCGCTCCGTGGACGGGCTGGTCCGTCATCGACAGCACCAGTTGCACAGTTTGAGGACCTCGGCATGCATCGCGAAGCAGAGAGGTTGGTTGGACAGAAAGGAAGTGACAGTTGGTGGATTTCAGGTTGCTTTGAAAGAAAGTTTGGATGATGGAGGACCACAATCCTTGGAAGCAATGGTGTGATCAAAGCTTCCAACACTGCTGATCAACCATGCCTGCGCACCAGCATCAGCTCGCCACCTTTGCACCTCCCCTGCGCGGCATGCGCCTGCACGCAGAAAGGGCCGCTCATGTGGCGCAGAGAAGCCGATCCTGGGAGGCTCCGCAAATCGCCCAAGTTAACAAACATAATAAAAGATATGTGGCCTATTGAATTAAAAGAGAAATATCATTAGGCCACATTATTATTAGTTCTTGATGCCCATCATTTGTATAAAAGAAAAGAAAAGACAAATAAATGATGGGCATTATAATCTCTTCATTCATTGGCAGTTTTTTCTTTATAAAAGAAATAGAATGAATAGAAAACCTGCCATGTCATTATATTCATTCTCTCTTTTAAGGGTTTTTCCTATAAGCTATTTTAATATTGGAAAAACCCCAAAGATAAAGATATTAAATGAAAGATAGGCAAAATGCAATTGACAAGATATAGTTTTATAAAGCATTTTGCCAATATATAATTCATCTTTTACTTTTCATGATGGGATTTCATATTATAAAATATCTTATGGAGAAATCCCATCATATTAATTCATTCATTAATTTTCTCTCTTCTCTATTTTAATATGAATGAACGTTATAATCAATGAATAAAATAACCGGCCCACATATATCTCTTAATTATAAAGGGGCCGGATAATAATAATAATAAGATATGAATGAAAAATCCCTGCCAATTAATTAAATTAAGGAATCATGAATAATTAATTGGCATTATCATCTATATATTAATATAGATTGTTTGTTCTTTATTAGCAGAGATTTTTATTAATAATAACAAGCCATAAATTGCCATTGGCATTATAATCTAGAGATTAAGAAATTTATATTAATAGCATGCCAATGGCAAATAGCAAAGATAAATGTAAGAGAATTATTAATAAGATTCATTCCATTTATTTTAATCTATAGGTTGGCCAAAAAAAGGGCAAAGATAATTAATGGAATGAATCATGAAAAGAGAGAATTTATTTATTGATGCTGCAGTTTAAGTATTTATGCTGTAGGCCCTGGAAGTCGCGCAAAGTGTTATGACCCTTGCAGGTTCCGATGTATGATGATCCTTGGAGGTTCCGGAAGTCGCGCACTGCAAAGTCATAATATATACCTCTGCCAAGACCCCAAAGAAAACCTGGGGTTCTCCAAAATACCCCGGGGTTTTCACTGGCAGCCCGGGGGTTTGCGTTGCGATCGTGTTTTTTGGATTTCAGCACGTGCATACTGATGTGGCAGTTTCTTGCTTGAGTATCGAGAATACGGGTGTCAGTTCAGAAGATTTGTTTCTATTGGCACCCAAAACTCGTTCGACATCTGACCTCCAAACCCGTGGTTTTTGTTCACGGGTTCACGGGTAAATCAGGGGTTTGAACAGATTGGGTGTTTCAAAAGAACTGGTGTTTGTTTTCCAGGAAATCATGGGTTGGCATGGGTAAATCACGGGCTCAGCACGGATTGTTCAGCATGCAAAGGAATACAATCAACTTTACCTCAGCAGGCAGATTGAGAGAACACCCGGGGTTTTACCGGGAAACCCGAGGTTTTTCCCATTTTACAAGAATATACCGGGTTTGTCCGCATACCCGAGGAAAAGTTAGGGTTCCGGCTGGCAAGGTATTTTTTACACATATGTGTAATATATTATTTTACTCTTAAACCACGTCATCACTCATCAATTGCACCCACCTTCATGTTCAGGCACATGTCACACGTCTGACATCTCCAAGCATCTCATCACCAGGCCGCAGCACCGCGCTGCTGGGCAGATCCTCCGGTGTGGGGGCCTCGCTTTGTGCGCCATAGCCGATCACCTGAGGGACGGAGAGGGATCTACGGATGCAGTCGGATCTCAGTAAACACATGCACCCAACATGTGGGAGCTGCAACTCAAGCTATGTACATCATATATGCAGGCTATGCAGGTCAGCTATGCAGGTCGTGGCCCAACTAGTTCCGCGATGCCCGGCTTTGTTCATCTCGGGCTCCGGCCACGACATGGCAAAGGCTTTCTTCAGGCCGAACCTGGGCGACGTTCGCACTCATGTTAAGAGTACGGCGGCTCAAGTTTTGCGATAGAAGGTTTCGCGAGTTTTGGGAGGTCCCGCTACAGAGGTTGCTTTTGGAACAATTTTCAGGTCAGATCTTGATGAACAACGACGTGATGGATGGATGGATGGATGGATGGATGGATGGATGGATGGATGGAT